CCTCGCGCGGCCAGTGAGCGGGAACCGGTCTGTATGTGGGATCCGAACCCTCGGCGGGAGCGCCGCCATGCTCCCAAGTGGCGCACTGCGCCACCAGGCCGGCCCGTTTAGAGGGTGTTTTAAGGAAAGACACCAGTAGATCATTGGAAGTCATCTGGATACCTTTATTAAGTAGAGACTTTGGAAGTGAAAATCCAGATTTTAATCACACTAGGGTTCCCCCTCTCCTTTAGGTAGAGATTGAGAAATCATTTAAGAACTTAAAAAATAGAAAAACTACCCTTTCTAGTTGAGAGTAAATAAGAGCAGAAAGATAAATATGGTGCTAAGCCAATTCTACTTTTATTTTTAATAAATCTATGTTTTTATCTAAAATAACTAAAATTTTAGCTTACACAGACTTGTTTTGTTGAAAAATATTGTAATCTATAATTTTTATCCTATTTAGAATAATTTAAATTCAAATATTTATAATAATAGTTATCTAAATCTAATATTCCAAAATTATTTCTTGTGTGTGTATATACCTCACTTGCTAATTTACGGATGGCTTATTTCTCAAATAACTAATTAATTTTTATTTTTAGATAACTTAATAAAGGAAAAATCCATTATTCAGTTTTCTGGCAGAACTTTTGTAAAAACTGAAAATATTTTTTTAGGTATGATTTCCACAAATGAAAATTAATATAATCTGTGAAAAGAAGACTATTAAATGCAAGAATTTGCTTTTAACTAGGGATTTAAATCCTAATTTAAATGTATATAATCTCAGTAGTGTCTAGCCAAGGCAAAGCTAGATAACCTTTACCACTTTAAAGATCATTAAGCCTTATTGTTATAGCATATTTGTAAAATATAAACTATCTGCTTTTCAATTGCTGTATTAATCTTGAATTAACAACTACTTATAATGTTTAAATCCTTTATATTCTTCCATTTTATGTATCTATTTATTTATTATTTATGTTTACATATTAGATTGGCTGTCTTCTGTGTATAAACAGCAGTGGCTTGCTATGCTCCGGGCAGAACAAGACAGCGAGGTGGGGTAAGTATATTATATCATATAATTATTCATTTAAAAAGAAAATTTTTGCTATGAACTTTCAAATGCATTTATTATATTGCATAATTCATCTACTGTACTTTTTTTCACCTAGTATTATATTATGATTTTCTTTCATCATATTGAAATATTACTTGGTTTTTTGTTTGTTTGGTGGCTGGTGTTACCAGCACCACTCTCTCCCAAGTGAGTTAACCAGCCATCCCTGAAATATTAGTTGGAACAATGCTTTCATAAAACATGGTTTTCATATTTATATATAGGTAAATCTGATTTTCTTATTTGTGGTAGTATTGTCAAATTCTGATTAATGTAATAAATAGGTTTTGAACATATTTGAGTTTAAAATGAATTAAAAGCCATCTGGTTACAGATGCTTTTCTCAAAAGCGTTTGACCCCCTATATTTATGCACTTTCTTCATTTTAAGAGGAAAATGATCTGTACTTCCAATGTATAATGCTTGGCGATTCATAGAAGTATTTTCACATTTATCATTTGATCCTTATGCTAGCTCCTAGAAATAGGCAGTGTGAAGAGAAAATCTGTGAGTATATAGAAGTGGCCTTAAGAAGTTTTAAATTTTTGCCCCTGATCTCTTTTAACCCATTTTTATACACCAAAGAATTTCCTAAAATAATGACCTAGCTATAAGTTTATATCGAAACAATGAGTGTATGAAAGTGTTATATAAATTTGTTGGGAAAATAGAGTAGTTTGTTCAGGGCCCTCACCTTGGGTCCATTTGGGTGTGGTTCAGCATCCTTTGTAAGCAAATTGTGTGTGTGTATGGAGTTAGGGCACATGTGCACCAATGTGTCTTTTTAGTTTTGTTGCTATTCTTATGTTCTTCAGAGAGAGAGAGAGAGGTAGAGAGAGAGTGAGAGAGAGAGAAAGGGGGAGAGAGAGAGGCCATGCTTTCCAGTCTATGGCTCCAAGGACCTTTTGGCCAGTTACCTAGTTCATAGACCTGAATGAAGGGGTCTGGTGACCCAGCCTGGTGTGTGTGGGGTCTAGTGACCCAGCCTGGCTTATGAAGGGTTTGTGACCCAGTCTGTGAATGGGCTTGAGGGGTCTGGGAGCTCCAGACCTAGACCTAGCTTTACAATTGGCGTCACGAACAAGATTAAGAGAGCTAGACAGTTGACGCTGAGAGCAGGATTCTAGCCACCACAGATCTCCACAAAATTCATGATGACTATGAGGTTATTATTATCCAGGGTTCTTAGTTTCTACTTTATTTGTAATCTCATTTTTTCCAAAGATATTCAGAGCACACTTACCTAGCACAAATACAGTAAGATTGTTAAAATAGTAATAATAAATCAAAATCCAAAAATTGAGAATTAATTATTTAATGGAATTCAGATTTGAATCATTTTCTAATGTATGAGGTAATTTATAAATCATTCTACTTCTTATATATTCAGTTTTTAAATTATGGATGTTCTTTATTTTTCAAGGTTTTCCTCACCTGTATCCTTATTAAGGTTAATATAAAGTCTCATCTAAGATACTGAGCTAGAAAAAGTACCTGGTTTTCTTGCCCTCAGTAGTATATGATTATGTTGCCCCTGATAAAATGTTCTATTTCACAGGTACTGAGCATCTGTTCACTGCTGCAGGGCTCCTAAAGTGAGGAAGACAGTGTATTCCCTGGATACTGGTTATAATCTAGTAAAGTCTCCCTCCAGGGTTCTCCTCTTCCAAACTCTCTTCCACGTTTCCATGAGGGTCATCTTTCTAAAACAGAAACATAATTGTGTCATTTCCCTGCTTAAATATGTCCAGGGACATTTGATGATAGTTAAAGGATTGTTGCTATTCAAGAATATTGAAGGTAGATGGTGAGAAAATTTGGTTTATTATGCTATTTTCTCTACTTTCATATGTTTGCAATTTTTCATAAGTTTAAAAGTAACAGAAAAAAATGCCTAGGAATTCTCTCTTACCTACAGGAAAAGTTGAAAGTTATTAGCATGGCCTATGGGGCCCTTCAACAGTCTATCCCAAATGTCTTTAGCTCCATCTTCTCTTATGTTCATTTTATGCACCAGCTGCACTAAATTCTTCATACATTTGGTATTCTATTATGGTCCAGTCCCTTTTTTATCTACTATCCCTTCTATCTGGAAAACCCTTCCTCCTGCACATAATTCACCTCCCATTTCTAAGCAATAAGCTCCCACTTAGGCACGAATAATATTTACTCTGTGATGAGCCCCCCTCTAGCCCTGAGCAATAGATCTGTGCCTTCTTCATGCTCTTAACATCACACCTCTCCACATTATTGTAATTATTACTTATGTCTACTTCCCTACTAGAATGAGCTCTTGGGTGTTGAGGACATGTTTTTTTAGTTTTATTTATGTTTACTTATTTTTATTTATTGTATTTGTTTCATTTTATTTTTTATTATTATTATATATTATTATGTCTCCAGTTTCTAGGCACTTCATGTTGTAAATATGAATGAATGTATTGTATTACTTTTAGCAGTTGGAATTATCAAGCTAATAATAATGTCATTTATTATTACAAGTTGAAATAACAGTGTTTCCTTTAGTTGTTTAAGGTTTTTAAAGTAAGGAATGAAGAAAAGACAAATTGATAAAATTCCTAGCTATTTTCTATTAAATATTGACTTTATATAGTTATTCTGCATGAAAAATGGTTTGCATGTGAAATAAGTAATATTCAGTAGTAGGTGTGACCAAGTCATGTCTTATAGAAATAAGAGATTTTAATTTCTTTTACATAATAGACTTTTAAGTATTTTATTTTCCTGGTGAGCACAATTTCTCACAGAATTTTTTTTTTCCTCTTCTCTGGTTTGGCTGAGCCCTAATAAAAGTAATCTAGAAGTCAGTGCAATAAGTGAAACATTGAACATTTAAAATATTTAGCAAAGGCAATGGACTAGATTTAATCAGTACATTCTTATTTTTATCTATACCACAAAAATTTACTTTTAAATCTAGTAGCACAATTTACTGTTCTTTTTAACTAACAATTCTTTCTCGATTAGTAGTTGCCTATTTTCTATGAGAGTTCATGTCTTATGTATATTTTTAGGCCTCAAGAAATCAATAAAGAAGAACTAGAGGGAAATAGCATGAGGTGTGGTAGAAAGCTTGCCAAAGATGGTGAAGTAAGTATATGTTGTGACTCTTACTATTCTCATACAAATTGTTGTCTTATCAGTGCATAATATATTTCAAGTAACAATCATGACACCTGTTGTAACTCAGAATAGCTTATTTGATATAGTTTCTATAGCACGATCTCCTGGGCAAGGAGTCATGCCACTGCGCTCAGTGGTGATTGATTACTCAGCCTTGTGTGAGACAATTAAATTTAAACTTTGGGTCCAGATAAGAGACATAAGAAAAGGATCCCTGAGGAAATAGTGTTAAGTCATTCTATTTTACAATTTCCCTCAATCAAAGACTTGCAAACTCTTTGATTGCAGCCCACGTTAAAAATCACCTTTTTTCACTACTATCCAATATAAGTGAAAGAAAAGTATTTAAAATAATACTTACCCCTGCTGTGTCCAGAGATCCTGTTTTCTATATTATTTTTTTTTAAAGCTGATTGTGATCTATTAAATTGATTTTACAACCCACTAATGGGACATGAACGGTATTTTAAAATATTTTATCCTAATTAATCGTAATTTTCATCTCTAAAAAAAATTCAGCCTAATTTAGATACCCATTTGGTTATTGTTCTCCCAAAATTTCCCTCATTTTATTTTTAATTTTTAAAAGTTAATTATTTTATGTTTGCATTTATAATTGTGATGAGTGTTCGAGTATGAAAGAGGAGTAGTTGTCTTCTTTACTCATTCTTTCTTGTGCTGCTTCCAGATCTTGTTCTTTTCTTGTTCCTCATCAAACCACAGCCCCTTTAAAGCAAATGCCTCTACTACACCACCTACTTCCCTTACTGTGGCCATCATTCACTAGGCTCACTGTCTTTCTTTATTACTACTCTCGTTACTGGTTGTGGTGATTTCAGTATCTCTGTTGCCTGACCTTCCTTCCCCCAGTGATCATGTACTCCACCCTCCCTCAGGCACCATTCCCATGAGCATATCCTTAATTTTTACATTACTAATGACTACACAGCCTTCAAAATCTCCATTTCAAGCATCTTATTTTCAGACTCCACCTCCTCTTTCTAGCTCTCTCTGTCTAGTACCTGGACTCCAGCAATTTTTTAACCCCACTGGGATGTACAATACATTGTTCTTACTACCTTTTCCTATCACCTTTCTCACCACATTCCTACTTCTTTCTTTACCTGACTTAAATTTTATGTTCTATCTTAAAATTGGTCCCCTGCTTATACTCTTTAACTTCCCTGTTCCCTCTTTGACTCTGTTAGACTCACCTGGCCAAACCCCAAGTCCTGTTAAATCCCAGCTTTCCATGCACCCCATGCCTACATCCAGACAGATGAAAGTGACTAAAAACCCAGTGGGTTTCACCTGAATGTTTTAACCATAAGTTTCAAGCACGTCTTTAGTGCTACATGGTGATGCTCGTACATTTCCCTAGTGAATTTATTATCTTCCCACTATCCGAGGTGACTCATACCTTCTCTCCTCAAAAGGGCATCGTTATTCTTATCTAATGGTCTTGCTTCTTACAGCAGTAGGAAGAGATTCTGTAATCTTCTTACTAAAAATTCTACCGGTCTACCTACATCCGGAGCTGTGTGCACTGCTTTTCCTCTTGTTAGAATGGATAAACTTTCTGCTTCTATCCTAGTCATCCCCTCTCCTTGTTCTAGACCTTATCCATGCTCACCTATTCAAAAGCTTTGTTCCTACAGTTATCACCTCCCTCTCCAGCATCATCAGTTTTTCTCTTCTACTGGATTATTCTCATTTAGCATATAACATCCTACAATATCACCTATCTTAAACTATGCCTTGGCCCCACATCCCCCTCTAGCAGCCATTCTATTTCTTTGCTCCCCTTTTAGGCAAAACTCACTGAAAAAAAGTTGCCTGTATTTGTTGTCTATACAACCCCTTTCCCTATGCATTGTTGAATTCACTCCAATTTATTCGCACAACTCCACTGAAACTGCCATGCCAACATCACCAGTGATCCCACATTGACAAATCAGTTTTCAGTCTTCTGAAAACTCTTGGCAACATTTGTTCACTAACTCCTTATTGAAAGATTTTCACCACTTGACTTCCAGGACAGCATTCTCTGCTGCTTTTCTATTTCATTGGCTTCTTCTTCTAAGTCTTTGCTAGATCTTCTCCTCTTACTCAACAAATGTGGTGTGACTAGAGGCTCAATTCTTGGATTTCTTCCCTATCTATGCTCACTCCTGAGTTGTCTCATCTAGTCCCATGACTTTACGGCCCATCTGTATACACCTATGACTGCTAGCTCCAAATTCATATATCCACCTGCTCAGTTGGCATCTTTCTTGGATACCTAATAGCATCTTAAATACAACAGTCCCAAGCAGAAGTTCTGATTTTTGTCTCTAAACTTCCTTCTTCCCAGGTGTTCTCCAACCCATGTGCGTCCATTGCATTGGCTCCAAACTTTGGATGTATTTTGGATTCTTCTTTCTTTTGTACCACACCTTGTGTCCATAACATTCCTCAAGACCCTACCCCTGAAATATGTTCTTAGCATGTCTACCACTAACGCAGAGTCCAGGCTACCATTCTTTCTTGCCTGGGCTATTATAGTAGCCTCACACCTGCTCTCCCCATTTTACTCTCACTCCTTTACATTCTATTTTCCATACAACAGTCAAAGTGATCTTTTTATTTATTTATTTTTTATTATTATTATTTTTATTTTTTTTTCCCTTTTTGTCTTTTTTACTGACCGGTAACGGGATCGCAACCCTCGGTGTCGCGCCCGTACCGGGGACCAGCAACGGGATCGCAACCCTCAGTGTTGCGCCCGCACTGCGCTCAGCCAGTGAGCGGGAACCGGTCTCCACATGGGATCTGAACCCTCAGCGGGAGCGCCGCCGTGCTCCCAAGCAGCGCACTCTCCAGTTAGATCATGTCACTTCCTTCCCTAAAATCTTCCATTATCCTCCACACTTGGAAGAAATCCAGTCTCTTCCTTGCCATGGATGACTAGTCCCTACCTTTTCTGGCCCCTAACTGCCTCTATGACCTAATCTCCAGCTTCTATTCCTGCTAGTCACTGCCCCATCCACATAGCCCTTCTTGCTCTTCAATATGCCAAGCGTGTTTTTATCTCCAGAGCTTCGTACTTGCCATTCTCTCTGTCTAAGGCACTCTTTCCCTAGATAGCTACCTCATCTGCTCCTTCAGTGACTCACATCCTTACTCACCTAGCATCTCCTCGGAGACAATTTCCCTTAGCAGCTGTCTAAACTAGCAGTCTCCCCAGCTGCAAGCCCCCTCTTCTACCCCGTCACTCTCTCTGGATGGTCTCTTCTCTTCTATTCCATGAGTATTAGTCATCTCTTCTCCTACCACACGAACATATACACAGATTAAAATGTAAATTCAGAAACTCTGAATATATAAACAGAAACTCTGTTTTATTTTATTTTATTTTTTATTTTTTTGATCCCCTTACCGGTCATCTTTTATTTTTTATTTATTTATTTATTTTTTAAATTTTATTTTGTCGATATACAATGTGGTTGATTATTGTGGCCCGTTACCGAAACCTCCCTCCCTCCTCCTTCTCCCCCCCCCCACCCCACAATGTCCTTTCTTTTTTCTTTTCATATCAACTTCAAGGAATTGTAGTTGAGAAACTCTGTTTTATTTACTTCTTTGTCTCCACTGCATAGATCAGTGCCTGGCATATAATATGTGCTCAATAAATACTAGTTAAATATCGAATTAATGTTATAATTCAGGTGTCAACCAAACACTTAAAGCCCTAACTTAACTTCCCTATACCACACCACCTTACCTAATATGCACTTATTAACTATTAACTGATAGTGTAAACAAACAAACTTGTAAACATCATGATAATATTTAAAGTAACCCAGTTGTGTTTATTACTGTTGGTAAATTACTTAAGGCATTTTAGAGTATTTTTAAAGCAAGGTGGATTTTTATGAGTTCATATTACCTCCATATAGACCCCTAATACCCTAAGTTATACCTACATAGAGTTGCAGTGAAAAGCCTTATTATCTATGACAGAATTGAAGTGTGGAGAGATATTGAAACAGATCATGAAGAGAAAATACTAGGAAAATAGCTCAAGGAATGATGATCATAAAGCTGCTTTTCTGGCTTAGTTATATAGTTTTCTGTTGTAAGCCTTCAGGGGAAAGGCACCGACAAAAAGTAGGGGACCCATGAGAGAAACATTTGGAATGAGTTAGAGAAAAAAAAGACATTTTGAACTTTTTATTTTTGACTTGATAATATGATAAACTGAAATACGTCTCTCTTTTGTATTTATTAGTACTGCTGGCGGTGGACAGGTTTTAACTTCGGCTTTGACCTACTTGTAACTTACACCAATCGATACATCATTTTCAAACGCAATACACTGAATCAGCCATGTAGCGGATCTGTCAGTTTACAACCTCGAAGGAGCATAGCCTTTAGGTAGGATGAAATTCTTCCACCCCACTCCTCCTCGCTCTAGAGGAAATATAAGAAATAGAACAAAACATTGATAATTTACTCCAACAATAGAACTTTGATAAGATACAGTATATGTGAAAGTGCTAGGAAGTGATAAGGCTTCATTCCTATGAAATGTATTGTTAATAATCAAAATCATAAGATCTAGTCAGGGAGAACAAATACGCTGGAATATGAACAATGTAAGCCTGATGCTAGGCTTGAAGACTTGTTGCTATTCCTAGCGAATAAAAGATCCAAACTAGAAATATGGCAAGATATTTTTTCTAGGAAAACAGGTCTGGTATTATCCTCAACTTTCTATAGGATTTGATATGTCCAACTTTGCCTGATAGTTGAGCTGGCAATCTTTTTCTGGAGAGGATACTATAGGCTAACAAGTTGGAAAATTGCTTAATGAACAGATTATTTAAAAGATGTATATTTATACTTGTCTTACTTTATATACAAAAATTAACTCAAAATGAACCAAAGATCTAAACAAAAGAGCTGAAACTGAAACCATGGGAAGAAAACAGGGGAAAAGCTTCATAACATTTGATTTGGCAATGATTTCTTCAGTATGACACCAAAAACACAGGCAACAAAAGAAAAAATAGATAAATTAGACTTCATCAAAATTGAAAACCTCTTGTGCATCAAAAGACAGACAACGAAGTGAAAAAGGCAGCCCATGGAATGGGAGAAAATATTTGCAAACTATATATTGGATAAGGAGTTAATATCCCAACTATCTAGAGAACTCCTAAAACTCTACAATAAAAAAAAAAATCTCAATTCAGAAATGGGCAAAGGACTTGCATATAAACATTTCTCCAGAGAAGATATACAAATGGTTAATAGGCACATTGAAAAGATGTTCAAGGGCCGGCCCGGTGGCGCACTGCTATAGTGTGCTGCTTGGGAAGCGCGGTGGCGCTCCCACCGAGGGTTCGGATCCCACATACAGACCGGCCGCTCACTGGCTGAGCAAGGGGCGGGGGCAACACCGAGGGTTGCGATCCCGTGGCCGGTCCTGGTCCGGTATGGGCGCGACACTGAGGGTTGCGATCCATTGCCAGTCACGAAAAAAGACAAAAAGGAAAAAAAAAAAAAGAAAAGAAAAGATGTTCAACATCACTAATCATTAAATGTAAATCGAAACCACAATGAAATACCACTCCACACCTATTAGGATAACTATTACTAAAAACAGAACAAAAACAAGTGTTGGTGAGGATATGGGATAACCTGAACCCTTGTGCGCTGCTGGTGGCCAAATAAAATGACGAGCCGCTATAGAAAATGGTATGGCATTTCCTCAAAAAAATTGAACATGGAATTATCACATGATCCACCAATTCCTCTTCTGGGTATATACCCAAAAGAATTGAAAGTATGGACTCGAACAGTTATTTGTATATTCATGTTAATAGCAGCATCATTCACAATAGCTGAAAGGTGGAAGCAACCCATGTGTTCATTGACAGATGAATGGATGAACAAAATTCAGTATATGTATACAATGGAACATTATTCAGCCTTAAAAAGGAAAGATTCTGACACATGCTAAACATGGACGAACCTTAAAGACATTATGCTGAGTGAAATAAGCCAATCATAAAAGGACAAATGTTATATGATTTCACTCATAGGACGTACCTAAACTACACAAATTCACAGAAACAGAAAGTAGACTGGTGGTTGCCGAGGGCTGGGGGAAGGGAAAATGGGGAATTAGTGTTTAATGGGTACAGAGTTTCAGTTGCAGAAGATGGAGATGTTCTGGAGATGGGTGGTGGTGGTGGTGGTTGTAGAACAGTGTGAATGTATGTAGTATCACAGAACTGTATACTTAAAAGTGGTTAAAATGATTTCTGTTATGTATTTTTTACCACAATATTAAAGGGTCATTTATAAATTATATCTCACTCAGATAAAGTCTTTTATCAAATACAAGACTTACAGAGAGTATGGAAGAGAAAAAAATATTAAAGTGAGGGAGGGCTTGTGTAAATTAATCTGTGGTTAAAGTCATGTTTTTTTGTTTTCATCTTAGATTACGTTTGGCTTCTTTTGACAGTAGTGGAAAACTAATATGTAGTAGAACAACTGGCTATCAAATACTTACTCTTGAAAAAGATCAGGTATGTTTGATTATTTTTTTGTTGTGTCATAATGTTTGTCTTTTGAATCCTCTTTTGAATTTTTCTTAAGTAGAATTAACATTAAAGTGACATTTTGATTTAAAGACTGGTTTGAAAGTTTTTTGAAGGTAAAGATGAAAGTACCACCTTTACTTCTGCATAACTTATCCCATCTCACTAGAAGCGTTAACTCAGAGAAAAGAAGAAAAAAGAGAACAATTTGATTTGAGGGGTAGGGGAAAGGACATTTTTGTTTATCCTGAATATCATCTTCAAAAAGTTATGAGTTTGTAACTTCTTTATCCATTGTGTACATAAGTGCTTTATTTATATGTCAACAGCAGACATCTGGAAGATGATCTAGCATGTCTCCGTAGCTCCTGAATAGTAAAAGAATATTATTCTCTAGCACATTAGGTTTATAAAATGACAAGTATCTATAATGTTCCCCAAATTATCCCTAAAGCCATTTGTTTCTTCATATATCCCGTGCATGTAGAGGTTTCAAATGTTATGAGGAGAAAGTATACAATTTTCAAAAAGTAAAGTGAAAGCTTTTAAAATATTGAGATTTATTTCTAGTAAAACTAATCACCATTCCAAAGGGCATACTGTTTTAGTAAAGAGCCTGTATAGTTCACATAAATTGTGAGAAGTCAGCGGTTTTCCTCAGACTGAACAGAGTACTGTAAAACATCCTTAGCATTGCAAGGAACCCTAGAAGTGATAGTTATAACCTCACATGTCCTACATGAGAACTCCTTTTGCAGCATTCTTACAGAGGTTCTCCAGCCATTGCTGGAACTTCAGCAACAGAGACTGACCATCTCCCATGGTAGACAGTAAGTGAGAAAGTCCATTTCAAGGCGGATATACAATGTGAAATTTGAAATCTGCTTCTGTTGGAATTCTCTATTGGTACTCCATGCCCTCTGGAGCTGATTGTGACTCCTGAGGGTATGACTATCTTTACTTTCTACCTGGAACTTCATAAAAAAAAAAATTGTCATGGCTCAGAGCAACAAGAGATTGAAAAAGCACCAGTCCAAGATAAAAGTTGCACTCCAAATGATCAGTGGTTTGTTTATTCAGCAAACATTTGAGTCCCTACTGTGTACTAGAGTCTATGCTAGGAGTTGAAAAAAATCAAGACAAGCTTGTGTTAATATGGTATAGTAGAAGTAGCATGATAGAATGAGCTCAGATTACTGTGCAACATTGAGGGAGAATTCTATAACCTATATTGTTGGTTAGGGGTGGGTGTGGTTATTGAAGGAGGAGGAGAAGGGAAGACAGCTCAGGGGAAGAACTTTCCTCTTTGGGAAAAGTTGAAAAATGAATGGATACCTGAACCAAGCCTCAAATGACAAGTAAGATGGAGGCAAAGGAGCACATGGGTCACTCAAGGATCTGAAAGAGGGTTGGAAGAGTTCAGTACAGCTGGAGCAGGGTACGATGGGCTGTGGATGCAGTTTGGAAGGATTTTAGTTGGGGAGTTGTACAAGGGAACTTCAAAAAGTTCATGGAAAGATTCGTATTATTTTTTAATTCTTTTTTTCCATGAACTTTTAAAGTACTCTCATATATGTGTGTTTTACGTAGGTTATAGATGTTTGTTGTAGAAAAAATAGAAAATATAAGTAAGTGGAAACAAAAATACGTATACCTCTCAGAGATACATGGCTGACATTTTTTTCTTCACCTGTATATTTTTTTCCAAATTGGGTCTTACTATTAACTATTTTATGACCTGCTTTTTCTTTTATGCTGAAAACATATGTTTTAGAGTTAGCCAGCTGGACTCAGTTTAGATGATCCTAATTTTGTTTGCAACATCCTAAGCATTGTAATCAGGAGCCAGTTAAACATATGCTGCTTTCTTTCTATCAGGCCTGATCAGGGTGTTGACCTTGGCCACATCGTTGTCACAGAGCTTCTTCCCAGCCTGTTTGATTTGGTGCTTGTTGACCTTGACATCTACAGTGAATACGAGTGTGTTGTCTTCTATCTTCTTCATACAGACCAGTGGTCAGGGGGAACTTGATAGTGGCATAGTGGTCAAGCCTGGGGGAGAGGCAAAATGGGGCCACCTGGCGTGGGCCCAGTAGAAAAAAGCATAGGCCCTCTTTTGGAGCCCAAGTCCAGGAGAGATTAGGTAGCAATTATAACCTGCTTTTTCTGCTACATTGTTGTACATAGCTTTTCTTATCAATAAATATGTATCCACAGCATCATTTTAATTGACTGTACAACATTAATTGTTTTTAGGTATACCATAATTTAGATAATTCCTCTTTATTGGATAAAGTTGTTTCATTTTTTTTCATTATTATAAGAAATATACATATATCTTTGTACCTTTTGATTTTTTAAAAGATAAATTCCAAGAAGTAGAGTTCTTGTCAAGTGGTGCATACATTTTTAATGGCCAAATTGCCCTCCAAAAATACTGTCCAATTTACACTACCC